TCATCCACTTCCATATCTGCGAGCTTATGGGGAACTGCGAATTTTAGGGGAGATTTGTTTGCCTGTTTCCTTGTATTTTCAGAGGTCTTGGACTTGTGCATCATTTGAGATGGATTCTCCTTCCTCTTTTATATGTGTGTACTTCATCTTTTTTTCGTTCTTGGACTTCTCTGCTTCTAATGTATGAGTAGATGTCCAGGAGTGAACCCTGAGGTCTCCTTCTGGTTGTTCCTACCTGGGACCTGGGTTGTTGGTTTGGGGTTTTTTTCTCCGATATTCTATGTCCAACTATGTATTTTCAAATAGCCTGACTTTGAGCTCACTAATTCTCTCTCCCGTTTGATCTTTGCTAAAGATGCCTTCTATTGTGTTTTTAATTTTGTCAGTATATTTTTCAGCTCAAGGAATTATTTGATTTTTTAAAAAACTATTCCCATCTCTCTGCAAGTTTCTCGGTTAAAGAACACTTTTAATCACTTCTTTGTGTTCTCTGAGGTTGAAATTCCTTTGGATAACTACTTTAAGTCCTCCATCCGAGTTCACCCATGCTGTTTATGATCTGGTTAGTTTTTGAGCCTTATTTTGACCCTTCGGCAAGGCCATGGTGAAAGTTCTTGATGGTTGTTAGTGATGTCTTCTGGGTATTGAAAAATTAGGTATTCAGATCTAATATCTAATTGAAGGTTTAGGTTTTTATAATCTGGCTTTGTCTTTCCAGAAATTCAAGCCGGCTGCTTATTTCCTCTAAGACTGAAATCATTTTCACCATTTCAGCACTAGATGGCATCCCGAGTCCAGGTTCACTTAGAGTCGGCTGTTGGTGTGCTGTCACTGTCTCTGCACTAGAGGGTGATCCAATCCTGGATTTATCCCAAATATACCATGTACCATTCTTCATGAATTGGTAAGTATCTAAAGGGGGTAGTTTTTCTCTGAAAGCCTCTCCCTGGGCTCTGGGTAGGCCCAAATTCATCACCCACAGTTACTGGCTAGTGGTCAGGAACTGTGAAACTCCACCTGATTCTGCAAAGAATTACTTTAGAGGATGTAGCTCCAGGCTCCTATGTCACACCCATGGCCACAAATCCTACAAGGAGGTGTCACACCCTGAGTTCACACCCTACTATGAAGCATTAGGTAGAATCCAGGGTCACACTGTTATGGGCTGCTTACCTGCCAAGATTGGGATCTGGAATGCTGCCCCAAGGCTCAAGTGTTAGATAACACAGCAAGGTTCAGAGGTAAAATGATTGAATATGGAGGGCTGTAACCTCATCAGGGGATTAATCCATCTCATGAATTAATAATTTAAATGGACTACTGGGTGGTAACTGTAGGCAGATGGGACATGCTGAAGGAAGTAGGTTACTGAGGGTATGACCTTGGGGACTCTATGTCTGCCTGCTGCCTGCCTCCCTCCCTTACATGTTTGTGTTCTCTCTCTCTCTCTCTCTCTCTCTCTCTCTCTCTCTCTCTCTCTCTCCAAGCCATCATGAGCTGAGTACCTTCCCTCTCTCAAACCTTATAACCATGTTTCTGCAATGTAGTTGGCCAACCATGGACTGAGACCTCTGAAATTGTGAATTAAACAAAAACAACAACAACAGCAACAACAAAAAAAAAACAACTTTTCTCGTCTAGTTTGTTTTTCTCAGGTATTCTGATCACAAAAATGAAAAGCTGACCAATACAACCACTAAGGTAGACTCATGGCTCAAGACTGCAACAACTAGCTTCAGGTGCTGTTGGCTGGAATAGAAGTCTGACAGACTGGGACCACAGGTCAACCTAAGCAGGGATGTTCCAGAGGCCTGGGGGTGGGGGGTCATTAGTATCTACATAGCATTAGGTTTGACCAGACTGGTCAAACTTACTATTCTGTCCTATCCTCTCTGAATGGACTTCTTGCTCCATGCTAGGCTGCCCAAGGGTGGGGAAACACGGATGAAGGCAGTTCCTTGGCCACCCAAACTGGCTCTAAGCTGGGTTGCACCACAAGGTCCTATAGGCTCAGCGTGTTGAGGCCCATGCCACAGCTGTTGGCAATGCAGGCTGAAACACAAGTCTGTCCCATAAGGGAGCTGATCTCTGCCTGACTATGGGGCAGGTCTACAGTTTCACCTGTAAGCACTGGTCTGAATATAGCTATGGTGCCCAAAGTTGGGAAAGGGGTGGGACAAACATTTTCTTAGCTACAAAGGCTAATGCTGAGTTGCAACTGATTTTCACAACTGTAGGGATCTACAGAGTTATGAGTAGAAGTGTGTCCCTACCCCACTTCAAAGATGGCAATGATGCAGGGAAAAACTTGTGTCTGTCCTAGCAGCATGCACATCTCTTGCTAGATGCTGGGGCAGGTCTAGAGGTCTGTGAGCTCTGGTCTGGGGGACCTTTGGTTTATGCTCAGTCCTGGGTCTCACTACCGCAGCCCTACCATTCACTGAGCTCCAAGGCAGGCGTGTGCTAGTTTGCATATCTTGCTCTCCTGCAGGTGACATCTTGTTCCCATCTCTGCTGCCTAAGGGAAGGGGTGGTGGAGGGGTGGATCCCTGGCTAGCAGGAACTCAGTCGGCAAGCATAGTTCAGGGCAGGGACTGTGAGGCTTTGCCATCACTGGGTTTCACTGGAACAGGCCTGGAACCCATTTCACATCTAAGACCTGGGTTTAATTCCTCTCCCCACCTCCAGCTCTGGAGGAATCTCCATGCTGCCAGGAGTTGAGGGAGGGGCAATGCTGGCAACTCTTTCGTTCCTGCCTTTTAAAATGTATCTTTGCTTATTATTATACTACAGTGGGGCAGTGTGCTCTCTCACCTGAAGACGGTCTGATGAGCAAATAGCTGCTGAGATTGAAGTGTTTGCAGGGAGACAATCACTGACGGTCTTCCTCAGCTGCCATCTCACCCTGCTGCCGCTTTCCACATGTTTTGATAATAGCCATCCGCGTGTGTCAAGTGGTGCCTCACTGAAAGTGATGCCGAACATCTTTTCATGTGCTTATTGATCATCTGTATATCTTCTTTGAAGAAATATTTAAAGTTATTTGTCCACTTTTGTGTTGAGTTTTGTTTGCTGAGTTGTAGGAATCCTTTATATATTCTGAACATTAATAATCTATCAGACATAGGATTTGCAAACCTTTTCTCACATTCCATGGTTGCCTGTTACTCTGCTGACAGTGTCTGAGACATAAAAGTTTTTGATACTTTTGATGAAGTCCCATTTACCTAGTTTTTCTTTGGTTGTGCTTTTGGTGTCACAGCCCAGAAATTATTGCCAAATCCAGTATCAAAAAGGTCTCTGCCTGTGTCTCCTTCTAAGAGTCTTGTAGTTTTAACTTTTACATTAAGGCCTTTGATCTACTTTGTACATTGTATAAAGTACTCCAGAAACCATTTAGGGGTTTCCTTAAATAGCAATACAAATACAAGATTTGAATCACCCATTTCTACTGAAATTTTACCTGTATAAAACTTGCTGGGTGAAAAATTTTCTGCCCTACTTTCCTTTACTGGGATCAGTTTCCAGAAGCAAAAGACTGATGGCCTGAATTATATTTTTACATTTATGGAACTGAAGGTGAATGCTCCTTAATACCCTCAGGCATTTAAAATTGTGATTTCAAACTTTATAAAACTGATATAATCTGTTCAGTTCACCCTTCTCAATTAATAATGACAGTATGAGCAGAAAGCTTTACAAATGGAAGTTACAGTTCAGTGTCACACAAAAAACTAAATGTGACAGATATGAAAGCTCAGATTTTTTACAAATAATCTCAAGAATAGATATCCTAAATAGAAAAAAAAAATCATACCAATATTCTGCTCTAGTTTGGAAACTATTTTCCATTATGAAATTAAATGGAACTCAACAGTGCTGCTAAATAAAGGAGTCAAGGTTCCGTGAAGCAATGTATCCTAAGCTGAAAGACAAGATGTGCCACCGAAACCTTGGTGGGGACAAAAACACTGGAGCACAATTTCTTTTTTTTTGGCAGGGGGTTTGCCAGGTACTGAACTCAGGGGCACTCAACCCCTGAGCCACACCCCAACTTATTTTGTATTTTATTTAGAGACAGGGTCTCACTGAGTTGCTTAGTGCCTCACTTTTGCTGAGGCTGGCTTTGTGTGTGTGTGTGTGTGTGTGTGTGTGTGTTCTGCAGCTTATTTTATTGTAAATAGCAGTTTGGTTGATATGACGAAAGATCTAATTAAATTGAGGAATCAGTCGTTATGGAACCTGTAGTCCCGGCTACTCAAGAGGCTGAGAAAGAATGATCATAAATTCAAGGCCAGCCTCAGCAACTTAAGAAGACCCTGTTTCAAAATAAAAAATTAAGAGGGCTTGGGATGTAAGCTCAGGGTAGCCAAGTACCACAAATTTAAAAGAAAGAGAAAGGGGGAGGGAACAAGAAAGAAAAGATTGCTACACTAAAGCTTCACAATTACCCTTGTGTCATATTCATAGTTTCCTCATATTCCATGGTAACTGTCATGCTTATCAAATAGGTTAGTCATAAATTTATGAAGTTCTGTATCAATACCTTTCTAAAGCAGATTTGTAGTTTCTCCTATTCTCTTTCGACCACCTACTATTAGACCAAAGACAATACATGCATATTTTTATTTAAATACCTTTAAGATAATAATATCTAAGTGAAAATATAGTATAATTAATAGGGTTTGTAGAACTTAATCCATGATGGATTTACCATGTATTTCTTTTTTTTTTTTTTAATTTTTTATTGTTCGCTGTTCAAAAACATTACATTGTTCTTGATATATCATATTTCACACTTTGATTCAAGTGGGTTATGAGCTCCCATTTTTACCCCATATACAGATTGCAGAATCACATCAGTTACACATCCATTGATTTACATATTGCTGAGGCTGGCTTTGAACTCACGATCTTCCTGCCTCAGCCTCCTGAGCCGCTAGGAATATAGGCATGTGCCACTGCGCATGGCACACTGGAGCATAATTTCTGAAGACAAAGAAGAATACAGAGAAAACTTATTTCCACTCACCCATTATTAATTATGAATATTGAATTCTAATAAGGGTAAAAATGAAGACAGTGTGTCATATTTCTGTCCCCTGACTTTCTTATGCCGTTGTTGTTTCCCAAGATTATACAGCCTTGGGCACGTTAAGTTCAGGATCCCTAAAGTGTCATTTCTTAATACAGTGGGTGACTGAGGAAATTAACCAATGGAGTACAAGTCAGTCTGCCTCCAATGGAATTAAAATCGTCCCAATCTGACAGCAGCCTTGACACACTAATTCATCCACTGTCCATCCCAGCAACACTCACACAGAGCCCTGCTCTGAGGCTGCCTGGCTGCAACCACATACTCGGGAATCACGACATCTGCCAGGTCACATGCTCCCAGGACATTCCTGCAGGCAACTCCATGGTACTCCTGAACCCAAGGAGCAACATGAACCTGACCTGAGAGCTCCAAGGAGCTCATGTGGTTTCTGCTAAAAAGCAAGCACCTCATGGTGACTACAGGGATAATAAATTGTCTACTTCAAAATTTGCGAAAGACCCGATTTTTAACATTTTCAAACAGTAAGAAAACAGTTGGTGAGGTAATGGATTTGTTAATTAGCTTTGCTGAGTCCTTCTACAATGTATACACAGATAATAATATCATACTGCACCCCATAAATATACACAATCATTTTCCACATTAAAAACAAATATAAGGGCTGGGGATGTGGCTCAAGCGGTAGCACACTCGCCTGGCATGCGCAATATTAAAAAAATTCTCTCTCTCTTAAAAAAAAAAACAAATATAAACAATTACAACCATCTCAAATATTTCTAAGAGTAGTGAATTTATAGCATGTTTTTCTCTCACAAAAAAGCAACTATTTCAGAGTCCCTTCATCATCTCCTAAAGGCCTTCAGTGTGGTATGTAACTCACACATGTCCTGACTGGCAGCAGAGACTGAGCTCCAAACTAGCATCACTTTTGTGAAGGACAGAAGAATCTTGGCAACTAATCCTCCTTCTTCTGACTTGTGGACACTCTAAAATGCCAGATGCATCTAAGGCTCCTGCCTTGGCTCTGTCAACACACAGTCTAGGGCAGGACCTGAGTCTCTGCATGTCTAAGGGCCCCCCAAATCAGCTGAAGACATAAGAGCACTCCCAACCCACTGCCAAAAGACACGAGGTAGGAGAGGATTCTTTCAAAATAAAGAAGCAGAATTTATATGGCCAAATGAGTGGTCACAATCATCATTACCTCAAATACTGTATGCCTGTTATTCACAACAATTTTGGAAATCCTCTTTTGGAACTAATTTCAAAGAAAACAACACCTTTGTTCCTTCATTTAACAAGCATGCACACTGAAGCTTCAGTGTGGAGGAGCCTGTTCTGGATACAGGGAAACATATACAGCTGTGGGAAGGAAGCTCCTGCCCTGGAGCCCTACACCGCCTCGAGGACCCCACAGTTAGCACCAGACAGCTAACTGTGCACAGTTGCCACCAGACAATAAGAGGAGCGTGACTAGAGTGGGGTGCACACAGTTTGTGCAGCCAGGGAGGGCTCTGAGCAGGCAACCTGGGAACCACACCAGGAGGAAGAAGGGTGTCCCACTTGGGTCTAGGTAATGTGTCTCCAGGAGGCGCATGTGGTGCACAGATCTTGTGGGCCACAGGGAAGTTAGTATGGCTGAAGTACAAAGAAAAATCTTAAGGGTCTTGTGGGCCCATGAGGACCTGGGGTTTACTCTGATGTGGACAGGAAGGCTCGGAGCACCTGGGAGCAGTCCCTGACTAAAGGTGGGGAACTGTCATTTTCTAATGCAGATTTGAGTCTGAGGAAGTTAAGGTCATATTAGCCCAGAGGATGAAGGAGGGAGGTGTGTTCACTTTGTGGCAGGACGTCAACAAGCTCTGAGAGAAACTTTAAAATGAGTTACCTGAATGGCCAATCTTGGTCTTCCTTGTGGAGATTCCAGGCCCCTCTCCCTCCGATGAGCACAGTTCAGTTAGCAGAGACTTCCCTAAATGAAGCCAAGGGAGTCAGACACTCCTCTGGCACAGCTGGGTAGGCACCTAAGCCAGGTCTGGCCAGGTAGGTATTATTTCCCAGCACTGACAGTCTGTATGGGTGACTCTGCAGAGTGGCGATTTCCCCAACTCTCAGACAATGCAGGCACAGTGATGTGCACGTTATCTACTTCCAAGGCTCCTGGGTTCCACTAGGAACTCCAAGCTGACTTCTCTATTCATCTATCAATTCCAGGAGCCTTATAATAAATGTTCTGTTCATTTATGATAGCCAAAGAATTTCTATTGCTTGCTCTCCAAAACCATGAATGATGCAATAACATGGTTAGTAGTTCCTCTTTATCTTACAAATAGATGAAGTTGAATAGGAGCTTATCCATTTTATATTTTGGAAATAAAAGTGATTTGTTCAACTGACAACTTTCTGGTTGAGTAACTTAACACCTGCCAGGTACTGTCCTAGGTGCTGAATACACAGTAGTAAATGAGATAGACCATCACTAATCTTATGGAACTTATCATCCTACAGGCAGCAAAGGAAGGAAAAGGGCAAGAAACAAGCACATGAACAAGAGAACAGGAGACTGTGGGAAGTATTACAGATACCATTTCATGTAGGGCCAAGTTCTGGGATAATACACTGGCTGGCTGATTTAGACTGGATCAGCTAAGAAGGCCTTTGGAAAAAAAGGCTAATTCCGAATGACAACCAGGCAGCCATAGAAAGATCATAAAGAACATCAGTGTAACCTCAGCTGGTGTGAGGGCCTGAGGGTGAGGCTGAACATGGAACATTTATAAGAGGCTCACAGGAATGGATGAGGAAGTGGTAGGAAGTGAGCTTAGATATGTTGGGCAAAAGTTTATATTTCACTTTAGCAGAGTGATACAAAGGCACTAAAGGATTTTGGGCAGTAAGTGACATAATTCAATTTGCATTTTAAAAAGAGTCATTGTAAGCTTGAGAGAGAACACATTATGGGGGCAGATCAAAGCAAAGTGCTGAATAGCAGGGTGCTAATGTCACTCAAGTGCAGTATGGTGGCTTGGGCTGAGACTGGGCAGTTTAGGGAGGTTGATGCTGTGGGGCTTGGAATAAGTGATTTTTGAAATAGTTAAAGAATGCAGGGAGAAAGGAAAGTCGAAATCTAAAGCCAAAATATTTGGTTCAAGTGTGAGAGCGTCCCACATTATTGACATTGGGAAAAACAGAGAAAAAGGAGGTGTATGCTGATCAAATTAGGTTAAGACATCTTCGACACACGTAAATGGAGTGGTAAAGTGTGGGATGGATGTGGATTAGCTTTCTTAATGAACAGTGTCATACAAAGGGCATTCAAAGCAAGGGGCCTGGACAAGACCACCAGGTAGACAGCTGGGAGAGAAAAGCAGAGAGGCCAGCAGGACCGTGAGAAGTGCTCAGTGAGGCAGGAGTAGAGTGGCAGCAACAGAGAGGACGCGATACTCAGTTAGAGCCAACCAGGCTTCATACGCCTCCTTCCCCAGCACCCTTCACCACACTGGTCCGCCATGAAGGTAAGTCTGCAGGGGTCATTCAGCAAACAGGGTTTCCACTGAAATAAAGAACACAGGGATAACCGGGCCCTCATCCAGAATGCTGTCATATCTACATGAGATGTTTTGAGCGATGGCAGCCAGCCACATGGTGACCATGACAGCAGCTTACAAGAGTAAAGTGTCACACTGAAGATGGCGCACCAGAAAGACGTCGCCATGCTGCTAAACTCACCAACCGTGAAGGTGCCCCACTTTGTGACTTTTGTGATATTTCAAGGTGTTTCCTGTTATGTGAACCTAAGAACATCTGAAGCATAGATGAAATGAGGAAAGATCTGAACACATTTCTTAGAAAGTGGGAAAGTTAGACTTACTAGGAAAATATGGCAGAAATGCAGGGCAAAATGACATTTGAAATATGCTATCAGAGGATGAATTAACTAATTTTATCTCTCCCCCACCCCCAGCAACTGCTAGGTATTTGGGGTCAGCCCAGCCTAAGCAAATAAGCTAAAACTTTACTAGATAAGTACAAAAGAGTGGAGGGTGGGTGAGAGCAGAAGTTGACATTTTTTGAGCAGATACTATGTAATAATTACGCATAAACTATCCTGAGTGCTTCATGGGTATTAACTAATTTAATCCTTCTACTTTCCCTACAAAATTGGTGGGAAGCTACCTAAGGTCCTTCACAAGGAAGTAATGATCTCAAAGTACCATGGAATCTAAGCTGGATTTGGAAGAAAGGAGAGATGACTGAGAGGGTGAGTATCCATGGGCCTGATGATCCAACGAGGTGGGTACGACAGTGTGAGGCAGAAAATCTAGCTTCTGAATGGAGCAGCTGTGACTGATATCAAAGTCATGGAGGGACTGGGCTAAAACAGGAAGCAGGAAGAGACCTTTGTGAGTACAATCACAGATTGATGGAAGCCGCTTCTGTAGATCTTGTGAAATAATGTACAGAAAGTGCTTTTCCCATTTCCTAGAGTAATTTTTGTGTGTATATCTTCAAACCTACCAATTAGAAACTATTTGGATATTGAGAACCTATCATTCTAAATGGGAAAAATAATATTGTATTCTTAGCCTATCCAAAAGTTCCAATCAATCTTCCCAAATACTGATAAAATAGTTGGGCAAAAGCACCATTAGACTACTACATAATAGTCTACCGTGATTCCTGCAGAGTATTTAGCATTTTAAACATCAAGTACCTAAATATGTAATACTTAAATGAATTCATCAGGGAGTATGTGGGTGCAGAGAAAACAAGTATCAGGTACGAACTGTTTCCTTTTATGTGGCACTAAACAGATAATATAATTAAAATACATGAAAAGTTGTATTAAAGATAAATGATGAATGCCAGTAATTCTAAGCACAATAAACACAGAATTTCTAAACTCATCACTTATTAAATGGAAAAAAAAAAAAAAAAAAGCCTCACAGTACAAGGAGGGAGGGAGGTGGGAGTCACTGCTGCTCCCTGAAGCTGGGGTAACAGGAAGCAGCTACAAGCAGTGCAGGTGAACAGAACTGTCAATTATCCACTAACTATTCAAACTCAAAGCAAATTCTTTCTTTGGTACTAAGATTCTCAAAGTAGACAGCTTTGAACCACAGATAAGGTAAAAAGAAGAAAATACTCTAAATGGGTATCTATTTCTTTTGTTTGTGATATACCAAAAATACAAAAATGGGTTTGTAATTAGTTTTTGAAAAGCTGTTTTCCTTTATTTTCTACTTTTCAAAATTAAAGGGTGGCTCCCTACCATCCTCCAAAGGTGACCAGTTTTTAACTGCTGAGCATCATTAGCTTAAGGATTTTAACCTATTTGATACATGACAATTCCTAGCCATTACCTTCCCTGAACCTTAAACCACCCCATCTGCGGGCAGTGGTAAATTACTCAGGTTGGCTCTTTGGTCTCTGATAATTTCCTGTTATGGTGGTGCACAACGTACCAAGCTCCTGTTGTACATTTCCTCCCCAGACCCTGGTTCCTTTCAGTGGAGCTGTATTTTAAAACATAACACTTCTGCTTAATGGCAATCAAGATTGCTTACAATAGCTACAATTCCAGGGCACTTTCTGCATATTCTTTTAGGTTTAATATTGAATTTCAAAGCTTCTATTTCCCAGCAATGATGAGCACCGAGGATGAACATAGGGAACAAGCTTCTGGGTAGTCAGCACTTCACCACATGACGTCAGCTCCTTTGCTGTCCACATCACTAAATCCAGTCTCTTTAGGAAGATCTAGAATTTCACTACTTTGATTTAACTACTTTGTTGAAACTTGGATATGCAAATCAAAACTTGGGGATCAGTTTTTATAAGGCTACACAAAGATCATGTGTGGCTGCTCTACAAAGTCAGAAAATAGGTTTCTGAGCTCAATGTGTCTTCTTTGCTCTCCTCACACTGCACCCTCTAACCTCCCTGCTAGCTCATGATACAAAGAGGCTGCTGAAGTCTTGCTATTAAGTCTGTAATCAAGTACCAAGAATGAAAAAAAGGGATAAGGGCAGGAGAGTGCTCCACTGACTAAGCCCCGGCCAACATCTACTTCCATCTATCTCACGGTCTAGATCTTGGCCACAGGTAGCTGTGAGGGGTTGCAAATGTAGTCTCCTTGCTGATGTTTGCCACAGCATAGAGAATACTCAAGGAAAATGAAAATGGGTAGGCAACTAGCAAGCACTGCCACAAATGGCAGAACTAATCTAATCATATAACACATGCTTCCACACTAGTGTATTATTTGGAAGAATGAAAATATACTTGAAATGGCATATACCTGTTAATGATTTTTCAGGAGTTAATCAAATATCTTGAGAGGGCATTAAAAAAGTTTTCCCTACATAATGGTCACCTGAAATTATACTACTCGAAACAAACATTTTTAAGTAGCAATATCTATCTGCAGAGGCTTTACCACAGCAAGCTTTTGCCAGAGAGGGCAAGAAAGACAATGTTTTACAAAATACAGAATACCTGCTGTATTCCCTGCTGCCTCTTGGGCATGCAGACCTTCAATGCCATGGGAAAGCTAGCAGCACTCCTTCTCCCAGACCAAAGCCCTCAACAAGAAGTATAAAACAACACCAAATTCAGATACTACTTTCCCTTTGTTGAATGTACACATTAAAACAATTTAAAGTAAGCTTTACTTTTCACAATAAAAATATGTAAGTAATGGAACACAATTTAGGACGATAAAGTATGTTTTGGTAAATTCAAAGGTGGAATATGCCGCACTTGTTTCTTTTTTTATTCGTCACCTTTTCCCTTCCCTTATGACTTCATGGGAAAAGAGGCACTAATAACAAAGGGGGACACTTATAACAAACATTTCAAGCTGAAAGGTACAGACACTGCATTAAGGGTACTTACTGATATGATTAGAAGTGACCTCTGACTTCTATAAGTAAATATCACTTTTGAATTACTTATGAATTTCCTCTCATAAATAAATAGGAAGCCCCAGTTGAGGTTATTTTTTCCTTGAACTGTGGGAGGAAACCTCAGCAAAATGCCAGCTTTGGAGTTTGATGCCCTTTGCGACTGACTCCTGTGGGACTCTGTCAGAGCACTTTAGCAAAGAGCCTTCTGGGTAGGTCAGGGCTCAGTGCTCAGAAAACTGACTTCCTCTCACTTTTACGATGAAAGCATCAGGGTCAAAGAGGAGTGAGCTATGTGAGCTAACAAGGCATGTTTTCCAGTCTTATAAGACACTGTTGTGATTATACAGAAACCCTAAAAATATTTAACCTTTAATTTGTGAAAATAGTTTCAAGTGTTGCAATACTTGCTATTCCCTCAGGCTTTTAGCATGTTCTAAAGCAATGAAACAGAGCGAGCAGGGGAGCAGGCCAGCAGGCAGGGGAGGGAGAAGAAAAGAAGAAAAATTCGAATTGGATTAGATGGGATTGGAATATGTGAGGAGAAAACCCTAAGTGGCCACACTGTGTAGAAACTACCTGAAAGTTTAGCAGCCTGAGCTTCATCTACAAGGGTTATGCTAAAGTAGCATTTAGGAAAAACTTTAAAAACTTTTTTTTTTTTTTTTTTTCTTTTTAAGAATCAAGGCAGGGGAAGACAAGGTGGACATCAACATTTTTTTTTTTTTTCCCAGAGCAAGTTAAGCAGTCTGGCAAAAAAATTTAAAACCTTTTCGATATAGCTTTTTAGTTACAATACCAAAATACAATACCAAAAGCCCTTTGAACCATTACCTCATTCAAGTGTTAATTTTATTTATTACAGAACTATCCTTAATATTTAAATGATATATATACATTTTTACAACAAATATTTAATGAAACACTGTTATACCCCCCACCCCCAAGTGCTGGGGACCAAACCCCGGGCTTTGTGAAAGCAAGGCGACTGTGCTACCCCCACAGGCAAGGTTGTCTTTTTTTAACTTTTGAAAAACTGTTCATTTGCTGTTATATACAAGATGAACCAAATTTTACCTTTAAAACTATTTTAAAGACTGTAGGGTGTGCATCTATCCCTTTTGGTCCACCCAGATCTACCACCAGCACTGCCTACCCCTCCACCATACAGCAATTAGGAGGCTGAGAACTCGAGTGCTACCCTGGTAGCTTCAAGGGTCTTCTGGAGGCTGCTCATACTTCAGTACAGCCAGTGGGCAGGCAAGTGACTGAATCCAGACCAGTCAACTCATTCACAACTTCCACCTTAAATGAAGCAACAGAAGGAATGGCTCGGTTTAACAGTCAAGTGAAGGCTTCGAGACAAAGAACTCTGTAATGGTGAAACGTTCTGTCTATACTGCTTAATGTGGAAGTCACTAGGCATATGTGGCAGTGAGACCTGAAATGTGACATGTGTGATCCAAGCTTTAATTTCAGTTCATTTCAATTAATTTAAACTTAAACAGCCTCTTGTGGCCAGTTGGCACAGTACTAAACAGCACAGGTGCAGAGTCTCCTGCCCCTGAGAGTCTGGTAACCTCTCAGGCTCTCATGACTTCCCTACTGGTGGCAATGTTGGCTTCTCCTGAAAAAGCAAAGCTTGGAC